CCTCATCATTCTGAGTATTGAGGGGCTTTTGTTCTTCCGCTAGGTTACGTCAAATTCATACGAAATAGGTAAGAAATCGAATCTAGATTTGCCAATTATCGTCTCTTTTGATTTCTATCAAATAATTTCTTCTTCATCGTTCTGATTTTGGTTTTTTTTTTTGTTCGGTATTGGGTGCTATTGATTCTTCCCCTGGGTACGAGAGGGCACTGGTAAGAAATCGAATCTGGAATTGCTAATAACTCTCGTCTCTGTGATTTCTATCAAATTCGTTCTGATTTTGGTTTTTGCCTTCCGTGTTCGTTATTGATGATTAAGTTCACATGTTTAATTAAATTTCGTTGCCATATTTATAGAGACGAGTAAGATGATTTACTTTTGTTTTAATTGTTAATTATGACGATCTTGATGCGAATTCAATGCTTCTCTCTTAAAGATTACCTTAATTATAGATTTTTGTATTTTCTTGATCTGGATTAGCTTATTATTTAGAATAGTTTCTTTGGTTAAACATCTTCATTCTCTCGTGGTTTCTTTAAAATCTGTTTAGAATAGTTGTCTTCTTTTTTGTTTTATATGTTCTGAGATTTAATGCCCTTTAAGTGTTTGTTAAAATGTCTGACTGAAACTTTTCTCAGTTTTCTTTACCTTTTTCTTGTTTGTTCTATCCACTATCATATGTCGATTCGACGCTTTTATTTGCTTAAAACATTAGTTATAATGATCTGTCTCTAATTTTATAATGTATTGTTTTTGCTTGGGTCTTTTTATTTTCTTCTGATGCATATTGTTTCATTGTTTCTATTGGTGGTAACTTTATAAGGAAAGCCTTAGAATTTTATTCTACTTGGTTCATGGAAACAAATTTTTACCAATGGGCTTTGTTACGAATTTTCTTTTCTTAGGATAATACATAATCTGCTCTGTCTAGAAACGAATTGGATATGTTCAAAGTGTTCTTTGAAAACGTGCTTCTCCCTCATATTAAAGTTAAAGGGTCTTTTGAGTTTATTTATCTTTGTAGTTTCCATGTACAGTTTGGTTGCTGTGAATCACTAAAACGCATATAGATCAACACATACATAAGTGCATACATCTG